GGAATGGGGTTTTTAACAGAGCTCCAAAAGAGGCCAGTCTTCTCCATTAACTTTAAGACTTGCCAAGCTGGGGGAGGGAGAGATGGTGGGAATAGTCCAAGTTAAATTGCCACATATACCACTGTTTTATTTGAGTTCGGTAGCTGTTTTGTAAGGATGATTTTTAATTCATTCCATGGCTTTGATATAGTTCCAGAATTCTGAAATGGCTTGTTTTAGTTGTCTTGCCAGTATTTTTAAGGCTTTTTTTTTTTTAATGGTTCACCTAGGCCCTCATTCCACCATTCCAAAATTTGATCTCCTTGAAAGCATTTTAAAATAATTTCCTCTGTAGGGTGAGAAATGAATCCAGAATTGAAGTAATGAGGTATGCAAAGTAACAGGAAAACATAGCTTATAAAAGTATAATGTTATCAAAATTAGTAATAATTCAGAAAAATGTTCTAGACTAGATGCATACTTGGGGAAGGGGAATGTGGAGCTGGTGGAAGGAGGAGAGACTTGGGGGGTGATGGAAATATGCTGGGGTACTTGTCCTGCTTAAGGAAACATAGTTTTGTTAATATTAAGAAATTGATAGGGGAAAGAATAAACATAAGTAAGGGCCATAGTAAGTTAGGGTTAACCACGAGAAACAGATTAAGTGGAATCTATTATTTTCCAAAGGCTGGTGCAAGAAAGTGAACATTTATGAAAAAATAAATAATAATAAAGAAGAAAAAAATGAAAAAAATCATGGGATAGCCAAATCCAACAGTGTATTAAAAAAAAAAAACAGTTCATCAGGATCAAGTAGGGGTTATCTAAGAAGCCATGGTAAGTTAAAAATCAAAAGTATATAGATGTAAAGTTCACCACACAAATGGACTGGGGGGAGAAAATCATATGGTCTTCTCAAGAGATATACTTCTGGTAATTGGCAATAGATTAAGATGAAAATGTTATAAAAACTAGGAAGAAAGGAGAACTTCTTTCACTTAGTGAAACCTTCAGCAAACATACTTAAAACTTTACATGCATTCTTTTTTAAGGTTTGTAACAAAACAAAAGTGGTTACTTTACTACTACTATTCAACATGTAGGAATATGTTAGAGCTTTCCAAAGTTCCTTGTGGTTTTCTAGCTCTCCAGGGCTGGCTTTTAAGACTAGGGCTCCTGCTAACCCACCCAGACTTCTGAACATCACCACCACCAATAGCAAAAGGTTCAAGTGCCAACAGGATGCAGACTGTTGTCTCATATGCCTCAATATTTTCTAAGGCTAGTTCTTCCTCTTTGCTCTTTTTTTCAAGCTTTATTTTCCCTTATATGTTTGTTGATGATATGCTGATTTACATAATAAACGAAGTGAATCGATAGAACTAAAAGGAGAATCAGCAAGACAGCTGGGGATGGTACCCAACATGCAAAGAATAATAGGGTTTGCCTTAACAAGCAATAGTCAATAACCAATCAGAAAAAATAAGAGAAAGTAAAATAACCTGTCATGATAGCATCCAAAACTATCAAATATTTATTTAGGACTCCCTATAATGAAAACTACACAGATCTTAATGAAGCAAAATTTAAAACTCTATTAAAGGACATAAAGAAGACCTGAATGAATGGAGAGATAAATATACCACAAACATGGGTAAGGTGAATGAATATTGTGAAGTTGCCAAATTAATGCACAAATTCAATGCAATGCCAATAAAATAAAATTCAAACTTGGGGAGAAAGGGGATGGCAGTAGACTTACTCTAAAATTTATGAAGGAAAATAAAGCTTGGGAAAAAAAGAACAAAGAGGAATAATTCACCTTACAAAACATTGAGACAAGGCCTCCCTGGTGGCGCAAGGGGTTGAGCACCACACTATGGAGCAATCCAAAGCCTCTTCAGCACGAGTTCGATATCCGGCCCGCTAGCGAGCAACCCACATGGCGCAGCAGACCTCTCCTGGCTCACCCGCTGCTCCCCTCAGCAGTGTACTCTGGTCCATCTGCCTGTTCTGTTCCCCACTCTGTCTCTGGTGAATCCTCTCACCCCCAACACCTCTGGCCTGTACCCCACCTTTTGTATGCATAAATAAATAAATCTTTAAAAAAACCCACAAAATATTGAGACATATTACAAATCCAAGTGCTAAAAAGCACAGTGTCAGGGCCTCCCCAGTGGCGCAGTGGTTGAGCGCTGGGTTGCGAAGCTGCCTGCAGCCCCTGCAGCGACGGTTTGATCCCCGGCCACCGGCGAGGGTCCTACATGGCGCACAGACCTCTCCTGCCGCCCGCTGCTCCCCTCAGCAGTGTACCTCGGTCCTTCTGCCTGCTCTGCTCCCCGCTCTGGCTCTGGTGAATTCTCTCACCCTCCCGTGTTTCTGACTGTACCCAGTGCTTGTATAAATAAATAAAAAAATTTAAAAATAAATAAATAAATAAATAAAAAGCACAGTGTCAATTGCATAGGAACAAATAAATGAATGAAAGTAAATAGAGAATTCAGAAGCAGATGTAGGTAAATAGAGGTAGCACCATAAATCAGCGAAGGAAAGAGCAGTTTATTTAGTCTTATGACATTTAAAAAATTGGTTAAATGGAGAAATATAAAGGTGGATCCCTATTTTAAGCATATAGGAAAAAACCCCAAATGGATTAAAGACATCAATGTGAGAAATTAAAACTATAAAGCTAATTTTTAAAAAATGTGGGACATATGTTTCTAACCTGGGAGTGGGAGTAGTATGAAAGATTCTTAAATAAGATCTTAAAAAAAATTGTAAGTGGAAAAATTTAAGGTTTGATTACATCAAAATCAAGGTCCACAGTTTTCCTAGTGTGTTTGGTGCCCCCTGGTGGAAAGCTTCTGAACTGTGGGCCAGATCTCCGCAGCCTGCCCCTCTGTCTTGTTTGTTCTTAGAAACCCTCTTCAGCCCCAGTTTATCTCCTTTCCACCCAGCGTGGAGGTAGGATGGCTTCTCAGGGTCCAGAGGATGTCCTTTCCCCTTGCAAAGGACATAGGGGGTGCAGGATTTTAAGACATCCCGTGATGGTTTAGCACAGAGGCAAGGTGAGCTGCTGACGAGAAAAGGAAGGCATTAGATCCCTCCTCCAATTTTCCCTAGAAATGGGGATCCTGTGGAGGAATTCATTCTATGACCACAGGAAGAAGTACCTGGGCGTGCTCTGGGACAGCAGGCTTGGTAGTACCTGTGTTTCTTGCTGGCCAAGTCCAGTGCAAACTCTTGTAGCCACCCCCACCTTTCCTAGGTCCCTCTCCTGGACCCACCTCTCTTGGACCCAGATCAGGAATGACACCTGGTCCTCATGTATTTTGGTAGTTCAGAGCTCCAAGAGCTGAAGAGTCTTCAAGTATCCAAAAATAGATAACATCCCAATCTATCTCCCCCACTCAGACCCATGGTTCACAATGCAACCGCAAGACAATGTCCGAAATTTTGGTGCCTCTCCACCGGCTGCTAAAGGCTTCACTTCCTAGAGGCAATGTGCTATTTGGAGGGAAACCCACAGAATTTTCAGTGGTCAAAGCTGCATTCAAGCCACACTCCACCATCCAACAGTCAAAACCCTGGGCAAGGAAGTCAGTCAACCTCTCTGGGCCTCAGTTTCCCCTACCGTAAAGTGAGTACTAGTATTGTGTCACAAGCATTGCCATATGCACGTGTTAGAAAGTGCAGTTTAACCTATGTGAGTTCCATTTCCCTTGGGTTAACATTTAAACCATGCACATCTGGTTTCAACTTACATCTCCAACTTTTTCCCTATGAATCCTCATACAAAACCCACATGCAAACTTAGCACCTCATCCCCGCCATGCCCCTGCCTCTGTTCATTGCTCCCTTATTAGGAATAGCTTTCCCATTTGTCTGAATTGGGTTTAACATAGAGCTGAGTGGACAGGTTCAAAGAGACCAGGCTTTGACATTTCATCTTTCTGGGCCTTAGCTACCTACATAGCTAAAGTGAGTTGATCCTCTGACTTGATAAGTTTTGTCAAGTTCTTCCATGGACACCCAGGATTCTTGCCAGTCTGGGTGAGAAAGTTCAGCTTCATCACCAAATACCAACTCTGCTGAGTTGAAAAGGTGACACAGAAAATTACCAACATTGGTGTTTTCAAAAGCATCTTCTAGAAAATACTAGTTCTGCATGATAATGCTTGGTGTTATGCTGGAGGTCATTTGTACCTGAAAACTTCTTAGGAAGCATTAAAAAAGGATAAAGTTCCTAGAACCATGTCTGACCCAGGGGACATTCACATGTTTTTCTCCCTTCTCCAGCTTTGAGACATTTTCTGTTTTTATAAAATGAGGCCGCTTCTTAATCCACTACCCTATACTTATCTGATTAAAAGGTAGAAGAACTGATCTCTTAGGGTTGGTTTCTGGAATAAAAAACTCTTTCCTGGGGGAGAGGGAGGCAGAGTCCCAGAAGCTAGGTACAGCTTCTACATAGCTAGGTACAGGCACAGCACGGGCTCTCAGTAGTACCCTAACCCTGTGGAAGTCAGTGCACCCTAATCCAAGCACCCGCAGACAATCTCCATGTACTCTTGCAAAGAGGAATGCGCAAAATATGAGTCCAAAGGGATTGAAATTGCCCTTGCTCTGACATGCGTAGGGAGGGCAATTCTAAGACATTTGAGAGTAAGGGTGAAAACCTACTACTCTCTACCCTTTCCCCCACACCAACACATACTACACTTCCCATCCTTTTCTCTAACTGGAAACTTGAGTAGTTGGGTATGAGTGTGGGGAGAGAGAGGAATTTCAGTTTTCAGCCCCATTCTTACCTGCTATAACTGGCCTTTTATAGGATCAGGCTCACGCCTATAGGACCCATGGGCATGTCTGCGATTCATCAAAGCCAGTGGCCCCCTCTGCCAACCGCCTCCTGCAGGTCCCATTGCCTTCTAGGTATAGCCAGCTCTCCAGCTAGGTGAAATCAACAGCACCAGACTCAGTATTAAGAGCTCCCACCTAATGCATCAGAATATAGCAGATACCAAGAGAACGCTTTCTTTCTCATTTTTTTTTAGCAAATGTATTCTTCCTCCATTATTAAAAAAAAAAAAGCAACAGCAAAAAGTTAAATCTCCATTTACTGTAAACGTAAGAAGATCTTGCAGTGAGATGATCCTGTGGGGCTTTGACATAGACGTGCTTTCTCTCTCCCAAGGCGCCCTGCAGCCCCGGGAGGACGCATGGATTCTGTCTTCAGCGAGTTGAGTTTAATCCAGTTCTTTGGCTCCTTCGCAGAGCAGTACCTCTTGACTTTCAGCCCTTCCAGTCAGAGTGCTCCTCCCTCATGGCCTTCACAAGCCAGTCCCGTTCGGTCCCCTGCTCAGAGTCACTCGTGTCACTCGCCTCCACGGCCAGCAGCTTCGAGTAGTTGATCTTCCGCTCCTGGGGCAGCCTGGGCTGGATGGCGAGGAGCAAAGCCAGCCAGAGCATCAGGGACACGCAGCAGGCCTGGTAGAGCACAGCCAGGCCAAAGCGCATCACCACGAAGCCCCCGACAAAGCTGCCCAGGCTGGACCCACCCCCCAAAAAGTGGCTTCGGAACAAGGCACTCAGAGGCCTCTCGGTTCCCGGGGTGGCCAGATCCGCTATCAAGGCCCCCACTGCCCACCACAGAACCCCACTGCTGATGGCACTCAAGATCTGAACAGGGAGGACAGACCACCAGCTCCAGAGGAAAGAGTAGTACAGCAGCTGCCCTGCCAGGCAGCCCAGTCCCAGCCCCACCGTGCCCACCCTAGACAGTTTCCTGAGCAGTGGCGCTTTCAGCGGATGAAGCAGAACCTCCCCCAGCAAGCCCAGGGCGACCGAGAAACCCATGACCAGCTCGCTGCTCCCATGGTCCTTCATGTGCCAGAACAGAAAGTTCTGCACCGTGCTGGTGGCAGCGCCTATCAGGAAGACAGTGAAGGCTAGGAGGCTGAGGTGGGGGTCGCCCCCTATGAGAGACAGCGCTTTGACAGTTTTGTAGGTGGGTTCCCGCCGCCTGCAAATGGGGATGGGGAAGGCAATGCTCACCAGGAAGGCCAGAGCGCTGACCAGTGAGTAGCCATAGAAGTGCACCACACCCTGAGGGCTGTTTGTCAGGAAGCAATCCAGCTGCCCCGCCACTGCGGCGATGCCACACACGCCTGCCGACATGCCCAGCAGCCTCCAGGCCCACAGGCTTCGGTAACGGTCCGTGGCGTCCACAAAATCCAGATAGTCATAAAGGCTGTCGTCCGCCACCTGCTCCACAGGGGCTGTCAGCAGCTCCCAGAACACCATGGAGCCCAAGGAGAGGGTGAAAGTCCACTGCAACCCTTCCATGGAGAGGTCCAGGGCCTGGGCGTCCCCCTTGGCCATGGACAAGTTGGCTGGACTTTCCAGCGCTGTATCCTCAGTAGGCAAAGGGAGGGCAGTACTGACCTGCTTCAAAGCATCTTGCCAGGGAGTCCCTTTCACTCCTGAAGTGATAGGATGGAGAACTTGGGGCCTGTTCCTGGCTCCTTCAGCAGGGACCACAAAATAGCCAGGCGGGTGACTGAAAGGTTCTTGGTCTCTCTGGCCAGCGGGTCCCTTTCTGAAGCCAGAGGCTTCCACCGTCACAGTGCTGTTTGCTGGGAGACCGGGCTCTGAGGCTGGGTGTTTTGAGGCTGGCTCTTGGGCTAAGGTGACGTTCCCAGTTAGTGCGCCCCCTGATGGTAGGATCGTGGTGGTCACGAAGTCGCTTTCATTACAGGAGAGGTACGCCAGGTCTTTGTCCAACGGCGGCACCAGGACCATCAAGAGGCTGGCTCCCACCGATCCAAGCAGCGAGCCCACCAGAAGCACCCTCCTTTTCTGGTAGCTCTGGGCCAGGAAGGCACAGAAGGGAGCCCAGAAGGCTGCGATCAGGTGCTTGGTTCCCATCAGGATGCCCACCCAGGGCGCGGTCAAGCCCAGCTGCCTCAGGTAGAGGGTCAGGAACGGGGCCACGCAGGCATCCCGGACCCCGCAGACCAGGTGGAAGAGCCTGGCCACCCCCAGCGCCCTGCTGATGTCCCACTGGGGGTTGGCGCTCATGGTTCTCCGGCTGCGTCAGACCCGGGCCGGCGGCGGGCGGAGCTGGGCGCAGGGCAGGCGCGGCGGCGGCTGGGGTGGGCGCGACGCCATGCCCCCAGGAGAGAGGCGCGGGGCGAAGAGCGAGCTGGACGGCGCTGCAGGCCTCGGGCGGCGCGGTGGTCTCCGGGTCAACGGCCGCTCCCCCGCCCCCACGTCCGGCTACCGACCCGGAAATGGCCCCGCCCCCGGGCGGTGCACCTGCGGGCGGGCGGGCGGGCACACCTGCCAGCTGCACCTGCCACGTCCCGGGGCCGCCTCCTCCCCGGGCCGGGTGAGCGCGCTATCCCGCCGCACCTGCCGGCCGTGCGTAGGTGCGGGGGGACCGCCGCCCGTCGCCTGCAGGGTGCGCCCCAAGCTCAGGGCTTCGACGCTACCTTGAACTTGAGTTAAATCCCCGAAGAGTCAAGATCCGGTGAAAGAATGGAATTCATGATGTGAGCTCTCTCCCTCATCTCCTTCAGGTCTTTTCTCAAACGCCCCTGATCAGAGGACACCAACGCAAGGGACCATCCCTATCCACCGTCACTGACAAATCCCGCCCCTTCTCTGCTTTATTTTTCTCCCTAGCACCCATCACTGCCCAGAACACTTCCCAAAAGCATCGCGTGTTTATCTTGCTTATTGTCTGTCTCCATCAGAATCAAGGCGCTAAGGAAGGCTGCTCTTTTTGTCTGCAGGGCTCAGAACTGTTTTTCCTGAATGCCAGCTACCCCAGAAGAGGCATAACTTTGAGAGACAGTTGTCTTCAGCCGGGATGATCTCTAGAGAAGGCTGACAGCTGGGGTCTGTCTTGGAGTGGCATCCCAGAACCCCATCCTGGTAGCCACCCCAATCCCAATTAACAGCATTTATGTATTGGGTAGTTTTAGTTTGCACGTAAGGGTGGTTAGTTGCCCAATTTGGGAGAACACGTTCTAGAGGTGGTTAGCTAACATTTAATCAAAAACCACACTCTAAAGTCAGCAAACACATGTCGACATGCAAAAAGCATGTCAATGATCTTAGATCAACAGAAGATGCTTTGTTAATTAGCATAATATTGGCAAAAATTTCACTGGCAAAATCAGTGGTGTCCAAACCACATGGATTGGTTAGAATGTTTTTGGAGGCATTTCCTCCTTTGGCAAATAGGGTATACAAATCTAGAGATCCCAGTAGTCCAAACTTTTGGGAATGATGCCATAGGCTTTATTCCAACATGGGTCAGTGTCCAGCCACTGCTTCTGTGAACTTTTCACGTAGGATTTGTTCAGAACACCCAGTTTGGTTGATGGGATGTGAGGCAGGGGCTACTTGCCAACACAAATCTGAACGTGTAGAAGAATTTGGTCTATGACTTGCTTTCACTGTAAGCTGGCAGAGAGGTTGCTGGGGCAGGAAACCAGAGCCCTCACTCAGCTCTAACAACTGTAAACTCTGTAAACATTTACTTACAAAACTGTGAGTGCCCAAATTGATAGGAATCATTTTGCATTATCCTAATGGCAGAAAAAAAAATCTAGTCACACTCAGGTGAACTCACTCAAATTCAGTGACATTAGTTATTTCCTGTTTAAAATCACCACAGTCACACTGAGGGGTGCCCCTAGTGCTCTCCTACCTGGATTCTGCAGGGGCAGCTTCAGCAGAGGGCCTCACTTCTCTGTCTTCACCTGTCCTGAGCTGATCTCCATGGAGAGGGCGGCATTCCAGTGCTGGTACCCATCATGGTGTTGCAGTCCACATCTGGGTTTTAGGTTTTGGGGTCCCTGCTGCCACTCACAGCTGCACCTCTTCCTTTTACAGTGAGAGGTGGTGTGGGCTTCTTTGTGCTCATGCAAAAAGCATGTCAATGATCTCAACTACCAAAGAAAACCCTTCCTGCTTCCCTTGCCCCAGGGGGACATAGATATTCTCTCTAAAGCTACTGTGGGCCAGGCTACCCAGACACCCCAGGCAGCCCCTTCTACACCAGCCTCCTAGGTGTAGGGAATAGGGAATATGCTCAAGTGCTGCCCCTGTGCTTACCAGGTGAAGCACCTCCCTCTCTACTCTGGGACCTTCGCCCCCCACTCACAAAACTTGGAAGGGATTCTTCCACCACTCCCTACTTCCCCACTTACTCTGGTACCCACCAGGCGAAAGGGATGGACTCGTGTCCAAGTCTTTATGTTCTGCTCCTTCCTCCCCCACCCCATGCCTAGCCCTGGAGGAAATGGTGTTGTGTCACTGATCATCCCTATGATTTAAGTCTTTTAACTCCAAAGTCAAGAATTTTGATGTCTTTAATAGCTAGCTTCTTTGAAACTAGCCTGGACAATAACCGCTACTTTGGGACAGTACCCGTCAGGAGTCCCTAAAGCAATGTGAGTGAGGAGAGGGTGGCCCAGTACAGAAAACCCCAGAAATTCTTCACACAACTCTTATCTGGCCTAAATGGATTCATTCGGTTAGACTGTTCTATAAAAGTACAAATGCTGCTGGGGTTAAACAAGAGCAGAAACACTTTAGTGTGCGTTTATTGAATCTGACATTTTCCTCTCAACCAGGAAAGAGGTGCGCCTGGGAGCGGGTGAGGTGGGCAGTGGCCTGAGGGAGGTGGGCAGTGGCCTTGGAAGGGAGGAGGTGTAGTTGTCTTTGCCTACACCCTATGTGCCTTCAGTCCATAGGGCCTGGCCCAAACAGCAGCACTCACCTTGGTTTTAAGGGCTGGGCTGGTGGGGAGCTTGAGAGGGAGAGATGGGGGTTGAAAAGAAATGAAGGGGTGGACATTTGTGCAAGGCGCTGGGCTTTGAGCATGTGTGCAACTTTGCCGGTGCCATCCTGGGCTGCCCCATCACTCCCAGGGCCTCTCCATGCCCCAGGCGTGTGCTGGCTGCTAGTCAAGGCCAGAAGCCACCCAGGGGAGCTGGGCTCTTACCTGGCCTAAATGGATTCATTCGGTTAGACTGTTCTATGAAAGTGCAAATGCTGCTGGGGTTAAACGAGAGCAGAAACACTTTAGTGTGCATTTATTGAATCTGTCATTTTCCTCTCAACCAGGAGAGATGTGTGCAGGCTGTTGATGGGGGTTCGGGGCTGGTGGGTTAGTGTATTCTTCCTCTCAGTCACACTGTTCTCAGACTCAGCTCTTCCGCTGCCCTTTCAGGCTCACTGGATGATACCGGAGAACGTGTTGATAGGCATAAGAAGGGGCTTGGACTTGGCTGTTGTCCTTTCCACTTCCTTCTGGGCCTTGGGCCATGGCCCCTTGGACTTCTGCGCCTCAGAACAGGGTTCTGGGCAGGGAGCAACCTCAAATCTGTGGGTGGAGAGAGGCCAGCTCAGGAGACTGATTGTAGCGATCCAATTTCCCTGGGGCATTTTAAAGGTAGCCCCATTATTATAGGATAGAGAGGAGAAAGTTTCATGTAGAAAAAAAGGATCAGGACAAGAAAGAGCACCCGGGATCTGGGCAGACATCCCAGAACAGGACCGCGAGCCTGGCCAAGTTCCCCTGTGCTTGCTTCCTCCTCAGGGGAAACCAGTGAGCGTGGCATTAGCTGGGACATGGCTGCCAAGAGAGGGCAGCCTGTGTGGAGAAGTCAAAACCAGTATAGGGCTGGGGCTGGATGAGAAGGGCTGTAGGCTGAGTGTGCATATGAATCCCAGGAAACTGTAATAGCTGCTGTTGCCTGGGTCAGCCATTCACTAGCTCTTCTTCCTGGCTTCAAATCATAGGGCAGTGGCCCAAGTTCATATCCATCAGGGCCACCTGCCTAGCCACAGGATCTGCCTGCTGCTTAGCTTTGTCCCGAGGGCCATGGAGCCCTGGGGCAGCCGGCCAGCCTCACCTGACCACATCCCTGATAGTGCGCCGACTGTCCTTGTCCAGAAACAGCGTCAGCAGCCTCTGGTCCTGGCTCTGGATCTGGATGTTGGCTGTCCGGAAAGTGTTTGTCACCGTCTACAACAGAGAGATCACTTGTGTGAGGTTCACCTTAGTGACAGATGGCCCTGGTCATCTCCTCCCCTGGACTCTGGTGGTTTCCTCAGTCCAGCACATGGGGTACCCTGCACTCTTCCTGTAGGTGATTCTGAATAGTGACCAACCTACAGAAATGGCTACTTTGTTGCCCATGGCCTTGGGTCTCGCTTTACTTTTGTAGTCCTTTCCCCAACCTGTTGTTCTTAATTTCCAACACAACCTGGGAAGATGTGGGGGATAATCACCGGGTTCTCAAGTTATTGGGGCACCTCCTCCATGACAGGTATGTTGTTATGTGTGTTTTCTAAGTCCTGATCCCAGGCAGGGATTTGGAGCAGGCCAGGCCCCAGGCAGGGCCTTCACGGGGTCTTTCTGGGCTTGGCCCATTCCATATGCAGACGGCAGTTCCGGGCGATTCACCACCCACCACACTCCAGTCTCCAGAGTCCGAGATTACATCTCATTCAAGTGTTCTCCACTCTGACTGCTCATCAGAATCACCTTTCACAAACTTAGAGACTCTGGTTTAAGTGGTCTGGAGTCGAGCCCAGGCATAGGCATTTTTAATAAGCTCCCTATTGTAGGCAGGGCTGAGAACTGCTGACTAATCCACCTTTGCACTGGCATAGAGCAGAGGCACAGCAGCAGCCTCGACTGAGGGGTCAAGCACATCCTGGCATTTCTGCTGAACTTTTGTGGGGTGGAAGCAGATCAGTCAGAAGTCTGTGGGAAGAGTATGCAAGAATCTCTCAAGAGTGTGCGAGAATCTCTCAAGAGGAAGGTCAAAGCACAGAGTCTCCAGCCAGACCACCAGGGCTCTAATCCTGGCCCTGCCACTACTGGCGGTGTGACTTTGGACATATTTCCTAATCTCTCTGTGCTTTTGTTTCTCATCTATCTAGGAAAAAAATATATGGTAATATTAGCAACTACCTTATAGGACTGCTGTGAAGATTAAAAGAGATAGTATATGTTTAGTGCCCGGGATACGGTAAACTCTGTATTAGTGTTGCTGTTTATTACTATTAGGTATAATTTTCCGAGAAGGGGCCAAGCCTGGGTAACAGCCTCAGCTGTCAGAGGGGAAGTGGAAGGCACAATGGAGCTTTCACTCAATGGCCTGCCTTCTCACCCAAGCCCCCTCCTGCTATCACTCTATCTATAGACCTAAATAAGTCTGGACAGGTGGGTTGTGAGAAAAACAAAGATTTACCAAAATCTTGGTAAGAAAGAAGGAAGGGGCCTCCCCACTGCTGTGTGACAGAAGATGCAACAGATTTGGTGTTGGGGAGCTCTTGGTTATGGCGGGCAGTTGTGGTGTGGGGGGCCATGGGGCAGGCAGTGGAATCTAACTGGTTAGCTAACTGGATGACTTCAGGCACTGGGATGTCATCAGTGACCTTCCAGAAATACCTAGAAAGATTGCAGAGAGGCTAGAGTCCTGAGAGAGCTGGGGGTGGGGGAGCCAGGTGCACACAATTAATGATAGCTTATGGCCCCCACTGAACTGACTGCAGCTGGCGAGGGAAAGTCCAGGTCCCCAGGGTAAAGATGTTGAATGTGACCCACTGACGGTTTACGGGCGGTAACCTCCCTGACTTTCGACTCAGTGCTCTGTCTACTGTGTCTGTCTGCTCTGGGTGTCTCTGGCAGGATCTGGGCCTCCATGACCCAGGATATGGAGGACCTCTCGGTTCTCCTTCCATCTGCCCACAGTGCAGGCAGAAGCCTTTGCTTCCCCTACTGGCCTACATATCCAGATACACCTGGATTTCCTGGTTTGGGGCCATGAGGGCCACAGCAGTCTTGGATTTTAGTCTATAAATGAGGCCATGACATCAGTTGAAAGAGCCAGATGCAAATTTGCAAAGGGTCCCAGTCCTGGCTCATGCTACTTGCCTCCTGTTTACTGGTGGTGTCCTCCGTTCCACACCCCAAAGTCCCAATTCTATCACTTCTCACCCGTTTTCTATATCATACTTCCAGTCCCCCCAAATAAGATCATTGCTGCCCCTTAAACTCACCAAGCCACTCACATGCCCTTGCCCTGCTGTTCTCTGAGCTGCAATGCCTCACCCCGCTCACCACAACCTCCCGCTGCTGCTCAGCGTTTATCATCTGATCCATTTGGACAGAACTTGTACCTGGCCCTGCTGACTCACAGGGCAAAGCACAGCTGCTGGAATTTCCCTCAGAGAGTCACTGCAGAGGTGAAAGAGAACTCACTGGGGTGATAAGTTTAGATTTTCAAAAAGCCCACAGCCAGGTTGTTTAAAAAGGTCTTGAAAAACAGAAACTACTCTAAGGAACTGACCTCAAAAGAGGAAATACATGGGCATACACAGGGCCATCTTGGAACCTAAAGCCTAGACCCAGAGCTGCCTAGTAGGAAGGCAGATTTCACTGCCACTCTCCTTCAGGCAGTACTGCATCAGAAAAAGTGAGCCTTGGGCCTCCTTGGTGGTACAGGGGTTAAAGACTGCGCTATCAGGCTGTTGGCAGCCACCACAGCAGAGTTTGAGCCCCAGCCAGCCAGGGAGCAACCCACATGGCGCATCAGACCTCTTCTGACTCACCCTCTGCTCCCCTTAGCAGTGTGTTCAGTCAGTCTGCCTATTCTGTTCCCCACTCTGTCTCTGGTGAATCCTCTCACTCCCCACACTTCTGGTCTGTAGCCCACCTCTTGTATGCATAAATAAATAAATCTTAAAAAAAAACACACACAAAAGAAGTGAGCTTGGTTTTAGGGTGAGATCCTGAGAGGTGGAAGGTAGACTAGGTGACAAGCCTCCAGGGATCTCCCGGCATGGGTCACTTCATGTGAGGGAGTGCTGGGGAGAACAACAGGGCCCAGAGTTGCCAGCCACTGCCACACAAGAGTCTGTGATTTATGGCACTGCACAGGCTTCTGTGCTCTGTGGGAGCACGGCCGGGGTGGGTGGGGTGGGGTCGGGGTCCCCCTGCTCACCAGGGAATGGTGGATGCACAGGGAGGGGGAGGAGCATCAGGAAAGGCTTCCTGGGGGAGATGGCACTCGAGTTTCATCTGGAAGGAGAAACAGGAATTATGGGAAGGAAGATGGGGAAGAGACGGGGAGAATGGGTCTCAGGGCAAGCAAAGGGCATACATGAGCAAAGGCAGAGGTGTGACAGCCAGGACATCTGCAAACACCAGGATCACAGGGCCTGCAAGGGGTGGCCGTAGCCATAGATAGAGGATGGGAGTTTCAAGCACAGTGTGACATATTCAAGTCCTGTGTTCAGCAGAGATGTGGAAGGTAGACTAGAGCATTGGCTTGGGATCAGGGAGAGCAGCTGGAAGCAATGGCATTTGGATCTAGGAAAAGGGGGTGGATGAGGGTGTCAACTTAGGTGACTAACTTGTCCTGATGTGTTTGGAACTTTCCTGTTTTTACCACTTAGTGCCAGGCTACCTGGGACAGCCAATCATCCTAGCTAGACCAGAAGGAGACCCGAGAGGAAGGGAGATTTGAGAAGTGTTTAAGAGAGACAACTAGCAGGACATGGGGCCATAAGGAAGAGGAGGCATCTGAGATGACTCCCAGATTTCAAGCAGGTTTCCAGGTATCTGACTGGTGAATGACAGTGCCACTAAAATGAGAGACACAGGGGAGGAAGGGATGGAATAAAAACAACGGTTAACACATACCTAGCTCTGACTTGGGCAGGCACTCTAAGCTGTAAAGTTCCCTCAGGAGATTCTGAGCCGCTAACCTTTAGTTTAGGACTACACATTTACACTGTCTGCATGGCTCAAAATTTTTGAGCCAAAAAATTAAGTAGATATAGGCTCCTGGACTGATACCATCACTGAGGCACTTAGCAAAGGCAAACACACAATCTCTCTAGAAGGATGTTTTCCACTCAGGTTTCCCATAGATAAAACGATAATGAAGATGAGCTCATAGTTGAGGATACATACAAGGAACTAAATGACCATGCACTTTGTGGACCTAATAAATGGAAGGATCAGGCTCTCAGTAATTATAGTGTAATGACATAAATCAGACTATTAGATAAAATATTTAAAATGAATAAAGAGATATGAGAAGGAACAAAAACCATGGGAAATGAACAATATTCCTTTTAAAAGGCATATCATTTTCATTGATTTTAAAACTCCCCCAACCACATTTTAACATCTATGAAATTAGTAAGTATTTTGCAACTATAAGATAAGAAAGCATTGTTCATGAAGTTTAGGAAGCATCTTTAATTTGATGAAATATAATATTTGAAAAAGAAGCAAACATATGGACTGTATACTCATACCAGAGGCAGAAATCACCAAAGGAAAATTCTGTGTATTTTTCTGTATTAAAATATAAATCTATCTTAGATTAAAAAAATCATAAAAACATTAAAAAGTTGATTCACAGACCAGGCGCGCAGGGAATACGTCCCGCACCGCCATTTTAGAACAGGGACATTTCTCCAGTAAAGACTGCCTGAAACCAGCAGAAGGCTCCGGAGGAGCCAGAGGTGAGCTGGGAAGTTCGCCCACTCCAGTCCCCTCCTAGCCTGCAGTCCCAGCCCAGAGGGGGAGCGGGAACCCACCACTGGGGCAGACCAGGTGCGCAGGCGAGCATGTCCCCACATCGGCATTTTAGAACAGGGACCTTTCTTCAGTAAAGACTGCTTGAAACCAACAGATGGCTCCTGGAGGAACCAGAGGGGAGCGGAGAAGTTCACCCAAGATGCCGGCCAGTCCCAGCAACACAGTGTCCCAATGCATATGGCAAATTAGAAAACAGACAGTAGGGAGTGGAAGAACCACACGCAACCTAGCAACTCCTCAGGAAAAAAGAACACCACAGAAAGAAAACCACCCCCTGGATTGCAACAACAGTAACTTGGAAAAACTTCTGAGCCTTCCAGAAAATTTAAAATTGCCATGATTAAAAAACTGACAGATGTCATAAAGGAAAACAATGATAAGGGAAAAATAATCAACGATCA